CTATTTTAAAGTTTTGCAAACTTTTTTGTTTTTCTATTTCTATATATTATTTTGCAATTATTGTACTAAAACTACCTGTATACAGGTATACAATTTTAATAAAATTAAGCAAAATAATAAACTTTGTATCATTTAAATTACTTTACTCCCCAGTATTAATTTATTGAGTCACCTATTATTTTTTACCACTCAATACAAAACATAACAAAAAAAACGAAGATTTATATCTTAAATATTTTTTATAATAAAAAATACTGGAAGTTTGTCTATGAAATAATTACAACTTGCAAATTTTGTAAAACAATAATTAAGGTGGTTATGAAAAAAATTGCTATACGTTATAACGCAAGTGACATTTTGCTTTAGTTGTTTATTTAATGTATACTTTATAAGGTTAAAAATAGTATTTTAAAATGAAAATTAAACCGAAATTCAAGTTAAGCCAAGAAGAAAATCAAAAGAAGGTATGTGCTGGCTGTGGAGAAAAAATTGTTTTTGGTAATCGAAAAATTCAGAGTTTAGGGTTTCTGAGAAAATATAAAAATTACTGCAGACTTTTTCAAACGAACACTTTAACTTAAGTGATTCAAAATTACCTACTTCAATATGGTAAAAACGGTATTTTTGCATAGCCACAATTGCCAAATTTTCAAAATTTAGAAATTACTAGAGAATTTCGCGGCAGCCAAGAATGTATGTGCTTTATCTGCAAAATGGCAAGATATAAAGGGCATAAAAAATATTAAGGGAAGAGGACGGACGAACGAACTAAAGTTTTGATATGCTCTTCCTTTCTAGGGGATATCGCTAGATGTAAGAAGCATGTTTGTACAGAGACTGAAGAATTTAAAAATACTGTTTCCATGTTAAAAACAATTCCATGTAAACTAACCAAAAAAAAGTTTTACTGAAAATTTAAGGCAAGCAGTATTCGATTTTGCTTCAGAGAATCTTTAGTTATTTATTAGTTTTGTATTAGGTACCTTAAAACAATAAATAAGATATTGCAAACTGTATCTTACATTATTTTGTGTTTATAATGTAATTTATCCATATTTCAATCATGTATCTGCCACATTTTTAAAAACATTTGATAATGGTACTAGATTATCTTATCGAAATGGCATAAACAATTTTAAAATACTAAGAAATATGCAAAACTTTAATAAATGATCAGCTGGGATTTTGATAAATACATTTTTGTGTTACCAAAAGAGTCTATAATCAGATTATGCTATCAGTTTTGGTTGGCATTTTTGTTCGTCCTATACTTTAGTTTTGACCACCGGGTTATAGAAAATAATTTAGTACCAGCTGATTTTTAAATTTTTTTAAATAAAAATATTTAATAGAAAATAAAAATATAAGTACTTATTACAAATACATGTCTATATGGGTGAATATATTGAGATGTCCTCCTAGTGAAAATGATTATTTTTTATTTTTGGTTGTTTCACTGTTAGTCTAGAATGGGGTTTTTGGGAAGCCACCAGGTCTAGTAATAGCATAACATATGTAAGTGGTTCTGCACTAATGCAAGAATTTTAAGAAATCATACATTTTGAGTATTAGAGCTTTACGGAAGATAGCTTCACGGAGGTTAGGATTTCGTATGTTTTAAACATCCCTTTGTATATTTGAAATAAGTTATTGTATATTTTGACACCTTAATATTTAAAAAAAATACAATTGTACATACTGAGATATAACACTTCACGGTGGATAGGTTTTTAAATAGCGACCTCGTGAGCAACTTAAACACTCACATTTTAACACTTGTAAAACATTTAAAACATAAAATAGCATATACATAGTGGTCTTAAAATGTATAATTGTCCCAAATTGTACCCAATTTTTTTATTTTGGAAAGTAGACCACTTTTTTTCTAATTTTTCAATCAAACAGAAACACTATTAACATTAACAGTACGATTTCAACACTAAAAATTAATTTAAAAAAAACTAACAACCTATAAGACGTTAAAACATTACAAATAAATAAGATGTAGGTACCACATTCAACATATTTCAAAACTTTAATAGCGCTTTTAATATCTGGACAATTAAAAAGTGTCAATATAGATATAACAATAAATTATGAAAGAAAAACAAGACAACTATGACGTAGTACGTAGGCATGTCAGGTCAAGTTAACATCAAATGTATGTAAATGGTAATGACATCGATGTATTTTATAACGTAAATCAAATTGAGTGTGCACTTAATAATACAATGCATCTAAATATCTACACTTTAAAAACTTAATAGGTTTGTATAGTGTACATGTTTTGAGACAATTGTATTTAAAGAGACATTGATCCATTCCCATAGATATTTTTAATAACTTATTATTTATGTTTGGATATACCTACAGGGTTTTTAATCCCTGACGTGAGAAAAATCGATTTAAAATAAACTTGCCGACTTCCAAGCTTTATTTCTTTTTTCTTGCAAAGTTTGAGCTTGGATAGGGAGAAAATTTGTCATAATTTCTATCGATCGAAAATTTATTATCTTATTAGAATCAATAAAAACCAAAATCGTCTTCTCGGTCATGTGTATTACAAATATTCACTTAATTACATTAATTTTATGTCATTATTTTAAAATTATCTAAAATGGCGAATGCGCCGGGATAATTATTTTATGAATTGAATGAGTAGAAAACATTTATTAAATTCAATAAATGTTTTCTACTCCCACCCATTATCGTACATGTTTCTATGACACCAAGTGACCTTTTACATACACATCGACAAGTTGTGGCTTTATGGCGTTTTAGTCACGGGCTGAAAGTAGCAACAATATTTAAGTTAGTTGACAGTTGTCTAATGCCATACAATCGTTAAAATGTAGTGCCTTTTTTGTAAAATAATACTAAATGTGAAAATTATTTTATTATATCAACACAAAAATACAGTTTATATAAACTAGATTTAACTTAATTTTGTTTGGGAATCAACCGTGGAGTGCCCATAAAAGATTTCCTTCACTTTCAGTGTGAAAACCTGTTGTCAGTCCATTTTCAAGGGATACCTACATTTCGATTTACATATAAAAATTAGACATTTTCACGGGTTTGCCGGTAATACAGATTTCCAAGTTGGTTACTCTATTTTTTTATAAATAATTTTTAGATAATAATAAGTATTTGTCGTAGAAAAAGTATAGTATGCAACTCGTTAATAAATTTTTCTAGACACTCATTTAATTAAACACTCGCTCGCAAGTTTCATGGAAAAGGAAAGTTTAAACAAATTTAGTAATTTGTGTTTCTGTTATATTTATTTTTGGAAATAGCTGACATAGGTAGGTACATTATTGTATCATGATGAACGTTATTTCCCAAGTTGGATTTTTACACTTGGGTATCATCTAAATTATTTGTTTAGTCAATTTTGGATTTTTTTCCCGATGTCGTTAAATCCAGCTTATTTTTTATTTTAATTATATAATAAAAAAATTATAACTTGCTAATAAATAAATATACATACTCTCTAAAAATGAATTAGGTAGTCAAAAATGACTAATAGTTATTATATCACTTGTACTATGGTTAACCATGGAATACCATGGTATCCCAAAATTTAACGGCCAATTCTTATGTAAAATTGTTCCCTAAATCCGAAAATGTCGTCAAAAGTTAAAAACGTATAACAGCTTTTGAGATATAGTCAATTTTCCATTTAATATGGAATTGACTATACCTCAAAAACTCCTCCACTTTCATAATTTTTGATGACATTTTCGGATTCAGGGGTCAATTTTACATAAGAATTTGCTGTTAAATTTTGGGATACCTTGGTATTCCATGGTTAACCATGATACAAGTGAAAAAGCAGCCACTAGTAACTAATAAATTAGTTATTTTTGACTAATTCATTTTTAGAGAGTATGTATAAAATTTAACTTTTCTCCATAAAAGCTTTACTTTTTCCCATAAAGCACAATCGCATAAACCTTAACAATTACAAAGTGAGTTTTTGCAATGTATGACAATTGCAAAAAGTATTTTGACTTTTATATTCTTTTTTCTACTCCCACCTTTAAAACGCCCTTTATCGTACATGTTTCCATGACACTAAGTGACCTTTTAAATACACAGTGACAAGTTGTGGCTTTACGGCGCTTTAGTCACGGGCTGAAGTTAGTTTTAAGTTAGTTGACAGTTGTCAAATGTCATACAATCGTTAAAATAAAGTGCCTTTCTTGCAAAATAATACTAAATGTGAAAATTATTTTATTATTTCAATACAAAAATACAAAAATATTAAATAGTTTCTCAACGCCAATATTTGAAAAGTTTATATGAACATTGACTGACCTTTTAATTCGGGCACGGACTCTACTGTAAAGTCCTCATAAAACATTTCCTTTACTTTCACTGTGAAAAACTGTCAATTTTCAATATACGTAGGTATATTGTATAATGTACATTTCGATTTATAACCTTTATAATTGTGTTTATAAAATGTAAAAATGTGACATTTGACAGTTTCCCCTGTTGTTTCAAAGATGGCCTTCTATAAAATTTTTGATTTAAATAATTTTAAGGTAATAATAAGTATTTGTCGTAGAAAAAGTATAGTATGCACCTCGTTTATAAACTTTTCTATTTATATACTCATTAATTTAAGAATTCGCTCGCAAGCTCGCTCGTGCCTAAATTAAATTCGTGTATAAAATGGCGTTTATTAAAGTTGATTCATAATATACTATTAATTAATAAGGTTTTTCAACACACGAGTGTTGCAATAACTATTTATTATTTATAGTATTAGTGATACCTTTTAATGTAAATAGCTACATACAACTCTTAAGACTTTTTACAATATAGGTAAGATAATTCTTGAGTTTTTGCAATAAACGATAATTGCAAAAACTATTTTTTTTTACTGTGTATGTTTCTTAATAGATGAACAATTCTTAATAAAGAATTGTATATACCAAACTTTTTCATTATTGTATTAAAAAATTGATTTCTAAATAGAAAGCACTTACCGTAAGGCGAAGTTCTCTGAAAGCCGGCCCCATCGTAAGCCCTCCACGAGCTCATCATCATATTTTGCGCGTAAAACTGCCCGGCGCTTAGAGCGCCGCCATGATGCGGCGCAGCGCCCAGCCCGTGCGCGGCGGGCGCCGTCATCTCGCCGTAGCCGCCGCCCGCGTGCCACCCCCCTTGGTGGGCAGCTCCGAAGTGGCCGCCCGTCGGCGTGCCGTACTGGGGAACGGCCCGGTTGCTGGGCACGTAAACCGGGGACTGCTGGAGGTGTTGGTGGAAACCGGCCGCGGCGGCGGCGTTCGAGTCCGTGTAGCCGCCGGACTGGGCGCTCGAGTGGAACATTATGGGGTTCGGGTGGTTGTACGGGTAATTTGTGTTGGTCATCTGAAAAAAGATTAATCAATATAGTGCTTTGATTGTGCAAAATCATCATTAGCTTGTGTGATAAACGACATGACGAAAGGTCGAGCAGGTAAGACGACTTAAAAAATTAAATGATAATAATGCAAAAAATCTCATTAGCGATGCAGGCTATTTGCTTAGCTACTGTACGAGGTGTGTTCAGAAATTAACGGGAATTGTTAAATTTCGCGGGTTCAGAGGGTCCGGTTGTCATAAAATTTTCTTTATTATGTTGGTATACATGCCCCCGAAGTATGATAAAAACTTTAGCTGCTTTCATTGTTTACTTCGTCTGTGGCAGCCGCTAAGGTTAGACGTGTTTTATGAGCTCGGCGATTTTTCGTTCGTTAAAAAAATGGATCAAAGAATTTGCATCCAATTTTGCTTAAAAAATGAAATAAATTCTGTGAAATGTTAACAAAGTGAGTCTGCTATAAGTAAAACAAGAGTTTACAAGTGGTATAAGAGTTTCCAAGACGTTGAAGATGACGAACGCTCCGAACGCACAAGCACATTAACAACCGATAAAAACACGGAAAAAGTGGAATAAACCATCAGAGAAGTTGCTATATCGATTGGCTCATCCCATGAAATTTTATCCTTCAGATTTGAACCACAAGTATTTAAGTAATCGGCGTTGAATTACTTCAAGAGCATTACTTTGAATTCACGTTGTAGTATGGGCTCCAAACTACTGAACAGTACTCCAACCTTGATCTCACCAGTGAAAAATACAAAGTTTTAACTGCACTAAGCCCTCTAAAGTCTTTACAATTTCTAATAATAAAGCCAAGTATTTTAAGTAAGGTAGATGATATATTCTCAATGTGAGTGTTGAAATTTAAATTGCTGTCAAAATATACCCCGAGGTCTTTTATGTCAGAACATCTTTCAATGATTTCTTCATTTAATGTATAGTCATACATAATAAAATTGATTTTTCTCGTAAAGGTACAGATTTTGCATTTACCTACGTTAAGCGATAATTTAGTTACTTAGTATATTCAATTGTTCTTGGACGTAAAAGCAGTTTTCTATTGTTTTAATGTTATAAAAAATTTTGAGATAATCAGCAAATAGCAAGTGATGAGTGCCTAAAGACCTTGAAAGGTCATTAATAAAAAGCACAAATAAAAGAGGTCCAAGGTTAGAGCCTTGGGGCACACTGGATGTTGCATAACATTGTTTAGATCTATAGCTATTGTATAGGACATACTTTAAAACACACTGTATATTATTATATACCCACTATTTAAATTAAAAAAACAGTAATAAAAATACATCTAAATTATATTTTTATTAATAAAAATTTAAATAAAAAAGACCGCCCATAGAATCTATAGCAAAACAAGAAAATTTAAATCCTTAATCTGTTCTATGACCTTTAACTTAACCAAAACTAATAAGTCACAAACTCGATATTTAAAAACTTCTCGCTTCCCACAAAATCGCACCTATGTATTTCTATTTGTGTGTCTCATCAATAATTCATTTCGGTTTAGGAAGCCCCTGGCGATATTTCAAACCACGGTGTGCAGAGGAAATCTGTCGTCGAACGTGTGCTGGCAACATGATCCCGTGAATTCCACACGAGTTAATGGACTATGAATAAGGGCAGGAATTTCGAGAAGCAGCCCATAATTGCATCCCTTTCGCTTGTAACGCGATGTTTGTCACTTTAAATTAGGATGTTTGACATAAACGCCCCAAATGTTTTGAATACCGATGCTTTATTTAATTGATCTTTTGTTTTATAGTCAAATGTCAAACAATTGGGGTTTTGTAGTTTTTGTTTTAATGTGACATGTAAATTACTTGTAGATTTGTGATTTATAAATGCCATAACTGTGTTGGCAAAAAGAGTAAATTAATTCGGACACTTTATAGTTATTGGACAATTAACATTAATACTGTAAAAAGAAGAGTTCTATAAATAGTTACCTTAAAGTCAAATCATTAGATGACGCTGTATATAATTATAACTTTCTCAGTCGGTAATAATACAGAACTACTTTATTTTGGGTGCAATATAGGACAAAAAAGTTCGCACGTTACTTTGGAGGTAAGATTTTTTTGTTTGTGTTTAAATTACAACAAAAAATATTTCTAAAAAGTGTGCAGATCAGTGTGTGGTATAAATGTGTCCCTCATTGTTTAAACATTGTCACTTTAATGTGTTTTAATTTTAATTCTGAAAAAAAAACAGTAAAATGGCCAGTGTCCAATTACTGGTTGGTAAAAAATGTAAATTTATTTTATTGGACATACGTCCAATATCATACTCTATTTGTATCCCGGACATTTACCAGCCAATTCTTATTCTTAAAAGACCGTCAAAAACTATAAAAGTTAAGCAGTTTTAGAGATATAGTCAATTCCATATTATATTTCAAAAACTTTTCTACTTTTATAACTTTTGACGACATTTTCGGATTCAGCGAATAATATTTCATAGGAATTGACTGCTAAATGTCCTGGATACAAATTGCTGTTGACGAGAATTATTCGTGGCTGCTTTTCTAGAGAGTAAGTAATATAGTGATTTCTTCGTCAAAGGACATCAAATAAAAATAAAAAAATTACTTAAAACATCAACTTATCTTTAAAAAATATTTAACAAATTTTATTATTTGATGTAAAGTTGTTATATTTATATAAAAATTGTATGTCCAATAACTGTGGTCCATGTGTCCAATTACTATACAGGGTGTTTCTTTTAACTTGAGATAGCTCAATATCTCGAGAAATACGCATTTCACGGAAAAATGTCTTAAATAAAAGGTTAATGTGACTAAAGGGGACATTATTTGGTGCTACCGCTAGCCACCCCCTACCCCTCCTTAAGGGTGAAACGGGGGGTAACTTTGGAAAGTCAAATGGAATGACCCGATTTTTTTCACAGAGTTTGGTAGTACATAAAAAAAAAATATTTTTTATTTAAAACTTTTTTCAATTTATCAACAGATGGCGCTGTAATTCAAAATTTAAGAAAAATGAGTTTCCTTGTAAAATGTATTATTTGAAACGTTTGAAAAACAAAAATTAACATTAACAACAATAGTCGGCTATGAAAACAATTTATAACAAATAAAGTTTAAACAAAGGAACTATCCTTTTTATATATTTATAAGAAAAAAACTAAAATCTTTAAAACAACGGCATACCTATATAAATTTTAAATAAATAATATTCCAATAACTATGTGTTAGTTTGTTGCAAAAGTAGTATTTACAAAAGGTTTAACTACAAGAAAACGAAAAGGGAAAATTTTGTTTAAAATAAAAATCAAATAGAAAAAATAAACAAAAAAATATTTTTTTGGTGGCGCACCATATACTTTTCTATATATAAAACCCTACAGTATACCCGGGTCATTTTCAAGAAATTGTTTGAATAAATAAATTCAGCTGGGTAATGTGTATGTCCGAACATCATTTGTTGATCACGTGAGTGCCAAAAAAGTTGCCATATATATGTTTTTTTTAATATTCTATCGGTAACACGACGGACGTAACGCAACGGAAAAAATGTCTGAGACAAATTTAAAAAAAGTAGATTAAAATTAATTATTTTATATATAAATTGTTTACTGTATTAACTAAGGATGTTATACATTGCTATAAAGCAACACAAAGTTCTGGTTATTCAATATTTAAAAAAAACAAGAATGTAAGTTTTATAAAACGCTATGGGACATGCGAAAATGTGTGTTTCACAAGTATCAAAATTAAAGAAAATTTTTTTCTGAAAGAGTTTACTAAGGGCTTGTTAGGCTTTCACTTGGTTTTTAAATCAATAAGATCCGATAATTTTTAACAAAGGTATTGGAATTCAAACTTACGGACAGCGGAAGGCGGGTGTTTTTTGAAAACGATCCATCCCATGTAAGCTACTAAGTAACCTACAAAGTCGTTATACTTTGTTTACTTCTATATTTAAGCATTACCAAATAAAGTAATTGCTAAGATTTTGTTTCCTTATATTTTAGTGTTCGAAAGTTATCAAACAAAAGAAATTATTAAATTTAATAACTCTTTTTGACTTGAAAACGAAAACCCATAGAGCACAAATTTATAACTCAAGGATTTTGCTGTTTTGTTTTGCGAGTCCCATACAAAATATGTAAAATTAAAATTATGAATTTATTTAAATTGTAGCTCGACATTCTCAGAAAATGAACGTATTTCCCTGTGCAATTAGACATTTAAAATTAAAATGAAATCCAAACTCGACTTTTCCGTTTCTTGAAAAACCGCCTTAAAATTGGCAGTGTCTCTGATGTCAAAATGGTTGGATATTTAAACTTAAAATTTAACAAAAATAATATTATGATGTTCCCAAATCGTCTGTAAATAGTCACAAATTATAAAATAATTAAAAATTTGTTAACAATATTGTTTAGAAGTGGGAAAATATGATGTTGACAATGTTGATAATTAAATAATAAATAAATACTGACTAACATGTATCTCTGACAGACAAATTGGACATTGTAATAATTGTTTAATGGGTTATTATAGATATGCTAATTATTTGATTTTATTGATTTACTATTTAAATGTCTAATAAAAATAAGCCCTGTTTAAATAATCAATAATAATAATATAATCTATTTAATTTCACATTTGTTTTTTATATTAAGGGTGCGTTTTAGGAGAAGTAACCTGGTAGCGGGGTACGTCAAAAAAACGTTCTATGGTTCATACCACAGACTGTGGTTCATACCATAGAGAAAGGTCCACACCCAAAAGTCCCACCATGTGACTTTCATACCAATAATTTAGGTTATCTTTCTGTCAGTGCTGATTTCGCCTTATTTTTTTTAAATAATACATTTTGTGTATTACTTTACACACACATTGTAATATTTCAGAAAAAAGTAGAAAAGCTTGAAACTGACAAAAAGATGGGGTGCGCTGCTTGATTTTTTATTTTAATAAAAAAAATTGAGGATGATCTTTTAGGTATCAAATATGAAAATC